GGTCCTAGAACTCGCCGTTTTGCTGACATCAGCAGAGCTCTGCCCCCAGGCCCCGCCGCTATTGGCCAACGACGTCCTGTAGGAGTCCTGCAAAGCTTTGTACATCTGGCATAGAAAAGACTCTCAAGCCCAATCCAATACTTGATTCTTAATGATCATAACAAGCTTACCTCGGGCACGTCGTTAGTCAAAACGAAGACTTTTCCTGTAGCATTGAACAATGTATAATTTTTCTGACAACTTTTCATTGTTCGTCTAAGACACATTTTGTATAAACGAGATTGTACAAATCTGTAACTTGCTTATTGAGTTTGAATGCTTACATCACATCCACCGCTGGCTGCTTCGGTGATGGTGTGTCATCATCTACACCACTTGAATTTAGAATGTCCACAGCAGTAACGTCTTCACTGAGACCGGCGCATACAAACGCTGAGGTGTAAGCAACTACAAAAGCTCCTCTGGAATTACAGAGTTGGAATGGAAACTCCTTGATTATTTAAATCCCTACTTACGCTAGGAGAGCGAATAATAGTGCCACCATCATCAAAGCTTGACAACCTTCTTGATTGAGAAGGTAATAAGTAAAAGCTCTCGTTCTGCTAAATTTGACAATTTATCGCAATATGTAACTCCTGCTTTTTTGCACCATACCAGCACATAATTATCGCAATGGCTATGACTGCAGACATGAATTGTATTGCAGGAATGAAATTGAGAGCAAGTGCATAATTAAAATAAGAATTAGCTGCGAAATCCTGCAATTATTTTTATTAGCTACACAGAAGATCGTAAGTATGTTGTTGCTTTACGTCTAATTGTATCAGGTTGTTCAAAAGTTCTGCCAACTTATGGAAGTCAAAATCAAATACGAAGAAAAGATTTGGTTTGAACCGTGTTCTTGTTATGCGATTGTGCGCTATCAAATACGCTAATTTGATTGAAATTTTACTATAAAGGCAGACTGGTAGACTGCTAGACCACTGCACTAGAGACCGCGAAAAGGCACTTTAGACAAGTTAGAGCCGCAAAATTTGCAAAATCTTAATCAAGGAATGTGCTGCTCTTTTGTATATGTCAACTATACTGGCATCGGTCACTAATGGCTTTGATGCCTCATGCTACCTACAAGCAGGAAATACTTGCGTGAGCGGAACACTTTATCGCATTTCAAGCAGCACGCTTTCTGACAGGGAATAGTCAAAATTCGAAAGAGCCAATTTAGGCAAGCTAATACCGCTAGGTCCAGCATAGAAAGTCGAATTCAAATCCTTTTTCATGCCAAATGAATTAACTTGACTGCATGTTTTGGCCCTGCTTAAGCAAGACATGGCTTTGCACTCCGCATATCCTATTTCTTTGCAATATCTTGGCTTATAACTTCGTTTACAAACGCTTTAGCAGTTACGGAAGAGGCTTAGACTCAGCG